AACTTATCATCACACACAGTTTGATGAGTTTAAACAACAGAACAAACTGTAAATAAGAATTAAAAAATACAAGTTATAAAACTAGAGAATATTTAATAGTGTGTTAAGTGATATGTCTAATTAACCTAATGATCAAATTTACAAGTAGAAGTTATATTAAACGAGCATTAACCCGCGGCTCCGCCCGCGTGAATGTCTTTCATCGTGGTAGAAATTATGTAGTTGCTGAAGAATCAAAACCATCTCCATACCAAAGTTTATTTAAATAAGTTCAGCGGTCATTGATTCCCTACAAAAACTTCCACCCCCTTTCTCACCCCTTTAAAGGATGATTTCTGGGATAAAAACTATCCTATGTCCTTCCTCAAGAATCAAAATATCTTCATACCAAATTTCATCTAAGCGTGAACGGGTAACCGAGGTGACAAGAGGCATAGGTGAATTGCCGACACATTTTCGCATTTATAAATATTAGTGTGGATGCAAAATGAAAAAGGCACCGCTAACGTCCTTTTGTGTTGCCATTGTAATCGAAACGAACATAAACAATATCGCAACAACGAGTTACTTATCTAGAACTCACCTCGTCTTACGTTCTGCAAAGTTCAAAGTTCTATCGCTTAATCGCTCATCTATATTTACATTAAATACGTGAAGAACATACTTCATACCCCTTTTTAAATAAAATGGCGGCAGCATATCACTTTTGGAATTCTTCATGTTTATAATTATGTAGGTCCGTGTGGTGGCGGATTAAGAATACGGCATATCACCACCCCTATTCATCCCGTGGGTGTCGTAACAGCCGACTAAGGGAGTAAACTACGCAGGACAACAACACTGCAAAAAGAGAAGGAAAACTTGACACAAACCCTATACCAACCCGTCTGGCCAGCGTGGTATAGTAGGCCAAAGCCTCCTTTCTAAGGAGAGGCCTATGTCCAGCAGTGGACTATTAAAGGCCGTTGATGATAATTATGTAGAAAAAATCCAGAACATTTTTTAACAATATGTGCTGTAAAGTTAAAAATTAGGTAGAAGCTGGTGCCTATACAATGACAGTTAAAGTGAATCTAATAAAAAAATTGGTAAAACAAGACATTCAAAGCGGTCGAAATTCAACGTTCAGGCTGTCTCTAATAAGTAAAGTTAAATAGACACAAGGACTCTCTTTTTAAGTCGACATCACCATCAGTAACAGCCTTTAGTAGTGAACTGCTGGACATAGCCCTCTCCTTAGAAAGGCGGTTTTGGCTTACTATACCACGCTGGCCAGACGGGTTGGTATAGGGTTTGTGTCAAGTTTTCCTTCTCTTTCCAGTGCTGTTGCCCTGCGAAGTTTCTCCCTTAGTCGTCTTTTACTACACTCGAGGGATGGCTAGGAGTGGTGACACTCCGTATTCTTAATACGTCACATCACGGACAGTTAAGTAGATAGCTAAAAATATTTTTTCATAAGAGTATAAAAACAGTAATATCATTGTCGTGATCACAGTAGTGGTGATCATATTAATGGGTTAACATTTACCAAGGTTAAACCTGTAATCCCATAATAAATGCTGAAGGTCTTATGCAATTCAAAGCGCTTCTTGTATGGTCGTACGAAGAGGAGAGAGTACAAGAGAACAGGGCCTCAATTCTGCTATTTTAAGTTAACGCCAAGCCGCTGTCATTCCATTGACACGCTATTGAGATGCCACTGATATCGGTCAAAATATCGGTATTCTACTAACATAAATTCCAAGTGTCAATAGACTGTCGATATAGTAATATAGGTCATCAATGGTTATATCAACAACATTGCCATATCATGAAAATTAAATACATCATTTTCTTACAAATTTAAAATGTACCGTTTACCAAACTATTATAAAGACATCGACGACAGTGCGAAACTATTCCGACGACATTCCATCGACAGTCTATTAATACAATATTAAAATAGCAGAATTGAGCCCCAGGGCAATCGCCTCCCCGTGGCTTTATGTATGAACTTAATAAATACTTTAATAAAGTTATCTTGAACTAACCTCCAAAAGTCACTGCCTAATCAACATTTGTTCTGTTGGATAGGTTTGTTATAAAATCAATTCTCAGGGCCAGGGTCAGTTTATAAAAGAATATCAGGTTACAGTCGCATATATCAGTGGAAATGTTACAACAAGACCATGGTTCATAAGAGGAAAGATATGACCGAAAACCGCTCGAAAGCCTGTATGTATGCAAGTTCACCAGACAATGCAGCTTTACACCATACGATAATGTCAATTGCCATAAATAAATAGCTCGTTTCAAACATTTTTTTAAAACGTTTGATTTATTAGTGCGTATCAATTGACCTTCATAATGTGAAAGCATTTTAATTCCAATTCATTATGACTTTCAAGGTTATTCTTGACATTTTTTGAGTAGGCGCAGTATTTAACTGACTAGAAACAAACAACATCATTCTATGGGTTTTGTTTAATTACTACAAGTAAAACTTCATGGGAATCTGTTCAGTGGTTTTTGAGATAAGGCCGAACATAACGAAATACTTAGCAAGTGTTCTTAGACATTCTAGGACCTTTAAAAAAGTAACAGTGGCTTCAATGCACCTATATCAGAATGAATTTTAATAAACTGTATCCTTTATTTCCTCCCAAGTGTAAAAAAGTGAAATTCCCTCTCAAATAATAAATAATTTTCCAAATCGGTCAGTGAATGGCGGAGGTCTGAGGCAAAGGAACGAACTCAAAAAAAATATTCATATTCATTTAATACTAACATACAAATTTCCACCCCCCTTTTCACCCCCTTAAAAGATGAATTCTGGGACAAAAACTACCCTATGTCCTTTCTCGGGACTTAGACGATCTCTGTACCAAATTTTATATAAATCGGTTCAGCGGTTTTAGCGTTTAAAGAGGTAACAGACAGGCAGACAGACACACTTTCGCATTTATAATATTTTTTTATATATTTATGTTACTAGCGATTCGAAACGGCTTCGCACGGATGGATGGTTATCAGATTTGTATAGTTTATAAAGTGAATCATTATATTTTTAAAACTTTGCTAGACTACTTCTACAAAAAAAAATCCTCTCACAGAATTGTTACATCTGCAATAACTAAACGTTCAAGTGTTGTTAACAAACCACATTCCTACGTTTTCTAAAATTGCCATCCATAAAATATAAATTACATAAAAAACTATATGTTTAAATTGAGCTTAATAAATGAGATCACTAGTGTATTTAGCAGTTAAAAACAAACATTTCTTTATTAGTAACTAGCTGACCCGCTCAACTTCGTCTGCGTCTCTCAATAGTAATAAATTTTCTCCGTTTTTGAAACATTCTTCATTGGTGCTCCGCTCCTATTGGTCTTAGCGTGATGATATATAGTCTATAGCCTTCCTCGATAAATGGGCTATCTAACACTGAAAGAATTTTTCAAATCGGTCCAGTAGTTCCTGAGATTACCGCGTTCAAACAAACAAACAAACAAACAAACAAACAAACTCTTCAGCTTTATAATATTAGTATAGATGATGACTATACAGATTAGACTAAGTAATAAAGGACTTATTATTTAAATCAATTAATTTAAGGAAAGGTACTAATACCTTTAATTTAAAAATTATGTAAAAAAAGTAATCAAACTTATTTGACAGGGCAACATTTTATTGACGGATCAAGGAAATAGTAAACGAATGATTTTGAAATTAACTTGTTGACAGTAATGACAACTCATTTGTGACAGTCAGCTGTTATTTGTATCGACTCCAGTATAGCCTATATGCAAACTACAAACTGAAATAACTTTTGAACGCAATGTTCTAAAAATCTAGTAATTAAAACTGTAATTTTTGATGATATTATTCCCTACCAAGAGATACGCAAGGCGATACAAGTCCCATACGCCCGCCATTGTCCTTTACCCTTTATTTTTTGTAATATGTAAAAGATAAAAATGGTTTCTGTGAGATATCCTTAGGAGAGAGACTTACCATCGCAGACTTTTTGTAGATCTTTTAAAGATATCTCTAGTACATTATTTTGATTTATCTCGTAATTTTTAGCCAGCGTTAGCAATGTAAAATGTTTTTTACGACTTCACTTTTTACAAATCTTCGGAAATCAGAAATTCTCGAATTTCCTCCACTGTAATATGCATGTATTAATCACATAAATCTGCCTCTTGAATTCAGGCCCCTCTTTCCCACTAGGCACTCTGGGCACGTGCCCAGGGCCCCTCGATCGATAAGAGCACGATTCCTGCCAGATCACCAATCGAAAATCAATATTTATCACCGAAAAACATAATTATTTCGAAAAATCCATTTGTAATAACTGACTACAATACTTTTTGTCCATTCTAACAAAATAATGCTCAGCTAATTTGGTAGGGGCACCATTATGCTAATTTGCCCAGGGCCCCCAATGGGCTAGAGACGGTGAAAATCGCATTAAAATCCGTTCGTAGTTCGAGAGATCTAAGCGTACAAGAAAAAAACAACGTCATTTTATACAACGTAAAGATACGACGGTTAGTTAAGATTAGAGATTCATTATTTTTTCGATTAGAATTTTGAATTATTACCTACGATTCGTTGTTTTTGATTTCTTTAGATTTTCTTTCGGTTTATATTTCTTAAACCTTTTATAGAAATATAAAAACAGGAATTAAAAGTCTGCTAAATTTCAGCAGAATACTAATCATACACTATATTTATGTACTTAGAATGTTCCTTTAGGAGATTAGCTCCTCCTCCCCCTCCCAAATCTGAAAAATCTTAAGGTTGAGCTTTATCTATTCCACATAATGTGTGACTACTCTTATCAAAAAATATCCCTAAATATTTCTCTATTATTTTCGAAATAAGCCCCTATTGCAAAAAAATTAAAATGTTGCCCAAAGTAACTATTCTACGCGGAGTAAGTCGCGGGCAAAGGCTAGTAAGATACATTTAGGTTATGGTTTAAAAAAAACACTTAAATTTATTTTTCTTTTCAGCATGGCTGCAACATGCGTGGTCCAGCCATTAGACCTGATCAAAACTCGAATGCAGTTAAGCGGCGGAGGCCGGGGCACCTTCGCCGTAGCTGGTGAAATCGTCGCCAGGGAAGGCTTCTTCTCATTATACACAGGGCTCTCAGCAGCTCTTCTGAGACAAGCTACATACACCACCACACGTCTCGGAGTATACAGCTATCTATTTGATGCCTATAGAGAGTAAGTACCAAGACTCTGACAATACTTTTAAAGAAATAATAATAGCAGATTTCGGACCGAATGGAGAAAACTCACCAGGTAGACCAGATAGATATCTCCACTGTCTTCTTAAAACCCTTGGTTAGTACACACGTCAAACGACACACGTAGCAAACAATGATTTTGATAAACTGTCACTAGAGAAACTGAAACTAATACCTATATGCTTCTAAAACAATAATAAATTTGAAAACGTATGGGTCGTTAGTTAAAATTCACACACATGTAAATGTATAATAATATACTTACCGGAATAACACACAATTAAAAAAAATAAGTATATAAGTATTCAATTGGTCAATCTAGCTTTCATAATACAAGCTCTGCTTGGTTTGAAACTAGAGGGCGTTGTGTGTCAGTGTCCGAAAATATTATTATTATTATTTAAACCTACCCAGGTCATCAATTCTACTATTTTAATATTGTATCAATAGACTGTCGATGGAATGTCTCCGGAATAGTTTTGCTTTTTTCTTATTCTACTAACTATGTATGTTTGACCATTGGCGTCTATATGACTTGTCACTGATACAAATGTCGTCGATGTCTTTGTAATAGTGACATATAGTTAATGGTACATTTTAAATTTGTAAGAAAACCACATATTTAATTTTCATGATATGGCAATGTTGTTGATATTACCATTGATGACCTATATTACTATATCGACAGTGTATTGACGCTGAATTTATGTTAGTAGAATACCTATATTTTGACCGATGTTAGGGGCAACTCAATAACGTTACTTATGGCTTGGCGTTAACGTAAAATAGCAGAATTGAGGCCCAGATATTTCGTTCTTCTGTGTGTACGTCCGCCGGCTAGAAAATGTAGAAAAGAAACAAGAAAACTGAGGACATAAGTAGAATTTGCTAGTATTTATATCAGGTGGTCATTATGGTTGTTATTATATGTATTAAAAAAGGAAAAGTTATAAACTGACTAAGGAATTGATAACTTTATTTTCTAATTGTCCACAGCAGAGATCTTTTAAAGGAAAATAAAAATAACTGGCTGTATATAACTTACGAGAAAAAAGATCGTTTATTTTTTCGTCGTCGTCGTCGTCGTTTAGACAAATGACTTACGCATATTTACTGTTACAACACTAGTCTGGTTACTGATTTTAAAATTCACGGTATAAATAAGTAACAGCACAGTATCTTGTGTTAGTTCTTTTGATAAGAGTTATCAAATATTGCTATAAAAAACAAATGAATACCTACCTAATAATGGGTGTTTATAGATCAAAAGGTCACGAATGTAAATAGTCCCCCAATCGAACCCCTGTACCATGGTATACAGCAGGTAAACAGCATGCTGCTTAGCACCTTTGTGCTAAATAAATATCACGTACAATATTGTGTCAGCCTATTTCACTCAGTCAATACTAAGTAGTGTACGTCAAAAATATTCAGATCACGCAAGTGAAGTTCACACAATATATTTTTTATGATGTAATATAGTTCTTACTTGTGCTAGCGGCTTCACAAGTATATACGTATACAGATTTTGTTCTTTGGTATTAGGTACAGCAATTTATTGACTTGCCTGTTGGTCGAATGGTTAATGATTCTGGCTGCTTAGCCAGGGGTCGTAGGTTCGATTCCCACCCAGGATAAATAACTGTTTTTTTTATGTTAGAGGCGGCAGACGAGCAGACGGGTCACCTGATGGAAAGTGACCATCGTCGCCTATGAACATCCGCAACTTAGGATTCACAAACACATTTCCGGCGTTTTAGAAAGGAGTACGCTCTTTCCATGAAGGTTTGAAGGTCGTATCGGTTCCACAGATTGGTTGTGCGGGGCAAAAAGTGTCTCGAAAAGCGCACAGTAGTGGAGCGTAACTATCTAGGTGATGAGGATAAAAATGGTTTAATAAGCTCGAAAATATATATACATTTATAAATATATATGTATATTTAGTACAAGCTCGCCTAGTTTGGGATCCAAACGGTCGCGTGTGAAATGTATGAAGTTACCAATCATATGTACTTTATGCTGGAAGTCCTTTTGTGTTCTCTTGACAATTTGTTTGCAAAACTTTACAGTGATAGGTAGAGAAGTGAAGATGTGAACGCGTAGAAAATAGACTCGCTTTCGTATTTAGAAGAATATTTAGGATTCGGACAATAAAATGTGATACCGAATATGACCGCCGGATTAAGAACATTCACTCACAATGAAAGAAATGCTTTACACCTTTTTTTTCTTTCTTTTTCTTTTTTTTTCTTTTCCAAATAAGATCACTCTCACATTAGGAATATATCCTGCGTTTTGAGGGACTATACAAACATACATGAAACGATCACAAAACCTCGTCCCATGTGGGGATCGGACCCATAACACACAGACCGCTTAAACCACTACGCCATCAGTCGCTGGTTTTCTGTCCTAAATTTAAATTATTTCTACGAAAATTTCTGAACGATTTTGTTGTATTCAGCCATTTGATCACTGTGTACTTCTTATTGGATTGGCTTGTTAGTATAGTAGGTATACTAACAACCTGTTACTATTTGGTAACCAGAGGTCGTGGGTTCGATTCCGTGTCTACATACTATAGGATGTGGGTGTTCCATGGCCTCGTAGTTCGGAATCAGACCGTGTGTGAGATGTGTCAATTTATTATCTATTATTTGATGGCCGGATTACGTAGTGGTGTGTTGCCTTGCCAAAGATCGCGGGTTCGATGCCCGATCAAGTCAAACATTTGTGTGAACATTAAATGTTTGATTTGGTCTGAGTGTTTCTATATTGTATAATATGTATGTATTTACAAAAAACAGTAAAAATATGTGTATTTATATCAGTTGTCTAGTACCCATAGTACAAGCTCTGATTAGTTTAGAACTGGATGGCGTTGTGTCAATGTGGTAGAATATTATTATTATAATTGTTTTTTTTCAAATACGTAATATTATTATGATGTTCAATATTTACAAACATTGTTATAAATTCTAGATTTATGTACCCCAACCTTGACCAGACGTTAACCTCTGGATGAAATTGTATCAAGTACACACACGTCTTACGTAAATAACTCAAGATCAAGATAAAAAGGACTATACAACACCCTTATGGTAGAATTTTCACATTATCCCAATTAAAGTAGTATTTGAAATGTACATGTAATTGTACTGTCTCACAACTAAGAATACCCTACCAAAGTACAAGTACCAAGTATTTATACGTAGATTTGGTAGGAACGGTAGTCAGGTAGATTTGGTACTTGGTCATAGTGTAGGCTTGTAATGTTAGTTCATATTGTAGTAACTTTCTGGTGGTTTTGAGTGTTTTCAGGGCCCACTCAAGTGTCCTGCAGGCGTTAGTGTCGTGTTCCGGGTTGTTGATTCTGTCTATATCGGTTAGGCTATACAATGGCTGGGGCTCGTATGCCGCCTGTATGGACGGGCCGACTCAATACTATGGTCCTTTCTTCGAAAGACCAACCCAGACCCTATACTGCACATAGTTATCTTTAAAATTGCAAACGGACTTGAAAAAAAAGACACCTTTGTGGTTTGTTTCGGCGTTTCTTCTAGCTGTAAAGTCCGACTTGTAAAAATATCTGAAAAGATTTACTTGCAGAAATAAATATAATTTGTTTTCACTTATCCAGGTAGACTTGGTACTTAGTGAAGGAGACTTGGTCGTGTATGTACATAGTTTGGTAGGTTGTCTAGATTGTATTTAAAGTAGTTCGTTGTAAGAATTTACATTAAATGTGTTTTGATAGTCATTCCTATTTACTTGAGTTTGTATAATACTAATGTAAAAAATGATTTTTTAATTGGTATATCTAAGAATTTACGGTAAAATTGACATCATTTATTTTTAATGTCTTATAATCAAAATAAATAATAACAGACTTGAAAATATTGACTGATCCAGTTTCAAGTGATTATTTTTAATAGTTTATTTTGAACATAAAAATTTATTATAAAACTGAATAAATAAGCTGGCGTCATTTAGCTAAAATCCACCTAGATGACAAGTCGTCCTTTAAAACACGTCACGACGTCAAATTGAAAGTAATTTCTATTAAGTCGCATGTAAAAGAAGGCAATAAAATTCTAGTAGGTTCTTTTATATACCTATGTATTTTTGAATGTAAAAAAGCTGTAAAATTGTGATTTACGAGCAAACTTCTTTTTAGTCGGTTCAAAGGTTGTTGGCCTGCTCTTTGGTTTGGGTGGTCAGTGATCTCGACTGTTAAGCCAAAGGTGATGGGTTCGATTCCCACCTAGTACAAATAATTGTTTGATGAGCACGATCATTTGTTCTGTGTCTATCAGCTGTGTAATCACCATAGTGCAGGCTCTCCTCGGTTTTTTATTTATCTATATTTATCTACTTAATGTTTGCACAAAGAAATACCAATCAGTAATACCACTAATCAACCCTCGATTGTTGTTTTATGACATTTACTGCTCGCCGCTCGTCATACTAACTATTGTATGTCTGTCATTGAACCGCCTGTCATCTGGCGATGGCGTATACTGTTTAGATTGGCGCCAAAAGTAAAAAAAAAAAAGCACAACGCGACAAAGGCTATTAATACACTCTTTTAAACCGTGTGTAAATATATTCACGTGATTTGCTATTAAAATAGAATGTTACTGAACGGAAAATTGTATCATATTCGACATATATTTGTTACTGTTTATTTTTGGATTTAAAATTTGTCAAATATCCACATTTACAAAGGTTACAAATATATGAGGCGAAGGGAAATGGTATACATCGTTTGGTGTACATGTGTATATATAACAATTTCATAATGTTGGTTTTTATCTATTCATAGTCATAGTTTAACCACTTCATTAAAATTATAAAGTAATCCTCATAAAGTAAACCTGAGAATACGGATCGTTATTATTTTGAAGTTTGTTTGTTTTTTTTTTGTAAAACAACAAAAAGTGAATTATTTGACGACAGCGAGATCTGTTATCACAGGTTGCATTTCCAAATGCTATACACTGCAATCAAAAATATGCATTTTAATGAATATTTTATGTCTAGGCGCAACGGTGGTGCCACACCGGGGTTCGGCACGAAGACCCTGTTGGGTGTGGCCGCGGGAGGAATAGGTGCTTTCGGTGGCACCCCCGCTGAAGTGGCTCTCATCCGCATGACGGCTGACGGCAGGCTCCCTAAAGAACAGCGCAGAAACTACAAGAATGTTGCTGATGCATTAATAAGGTAAAATAAACTGAGATCTTGCTTTTTCCCGCCATTCTGTACGCGGTAATGAATTTATTTTTCCATTAAGTAAGGTACTCTTCGAGAACCCTCATTTTTGCCTGATTAAATGTACCCTGTCCTTCATTTTAGTAGGTACCTCAGATTACGTGATTGCCAATTTTTATAACACAATCGGTTGATTAATTAGGCGTGAATGCGTAACAAACAAACTCATATTCGCATGTATTAGGTAGTTGAAATAGTGACACGGAGACATATTTATGACACTGTAATAATCAATGATATTTTAAAGAAGATACGAGTACGTTATATTCATACAGCACGCACAAAATATTTGTTCCGTAAACGTACATACGAGTATGCGGAGGGATGAGGAAAATATGGCGAAGAAAGTTTTAGGTATGGGAGTTGAAGGGTACAAGAGAAGAGGCAGACCGAAAAAAAGGTGGATGGACTGCGTGAGGGAGGATATGGCTAGGAAGGGAGTAAACAGTGAGATGACGCATGACAGCGTAGAATGGAAAAATCATACATACTGCGCCGACCCCAAATAAAATTGGGAAAAGGGTAGGCAGATGAACCGTACTACGAGTACATCTATTAATGCATTTTAGAACAAAACATACACTTACTATGCACATGCTATGATATTCCTTTATCTTTATTTAGCTTTTGGTCGTAATTTGTGCACTTTCGGAATACACAGGAGTTTGAACATGAAATTACTCGAATCAATTAGTACGTGCGGTTGGTCGCAATGATCCTAATTAAGACCCTCACGTTTTGTGCGTTGGTGGCGTATCTACCTCTTGTTTGTATGTAATATCATTGGCAATAATAGTATTATCACATCACATCAGCAGCCTTTAATAGTTAACTGCTGGACATAGGCCTCTCCTTAGAAAGAAGGTTTTGGCCTAATATACCACGCTGGCCAGACGGGTTGGTATAGGGTTTGTGTCAAGTTTTCCTTCTTATAGTAGTCTAGTCTAGTCTAGTAATAGTATAATTTAGTGTAATATGTAAGTAAAAAAAAATTATGTAATAAGAATGCAAATTATCCAAATAATACAACAATTCTCTGACATATTCACGACTAGCCAATAAAAACTTAACAGCAATCTTCCTCGCCTATTCTTTATTTAAAATCAATTCGAAGAATTGAAGGCCATAATATTATCGACAAAAACACATTCATACTTCATTAGTATATATCTTAATAAACATTTTATATTTGTTTTTAATATGCGTTCCTAAAGAGGAAGATAAAGAACAGGTCACAAGATGTGAAGCAGGTAATGCTATGTATATATGTGTATGGGTTGAAGAATCACTGCATTGATTATTATAGGTTCGATTTATTCACGATCCCCTTGCTAAACAACTCTTGATGTAATACGCAAGTTATAAAGTAAGCTTCTCTAACATACAAATGAAATTAATGTCTTTATATGATTTTTATAATTACGTAATGCAACCCACGCAAATTTTTCTGCGTCTCTCAAAAGGATTTTTTTAACGTTTTTGCAACATTTTCCTTCCTCGATTCATGAACATACGATTAACACTCAAAGACAGTTTTAAATGTCAGGATAGTTAATGATACTATGGCGCCATCTATCCAAAGATAATCCGAACTAAAACCGATCCTGTATCACGCGAACAAAGTTCTCGGGTTGATTTTGTACATGTACAATATTCAGCAACAACTGTTGGGCTACAGTCCACACGTTCCTATATTAGACCGCTATTCCTTTACCCTAATATAATGTACAATACGCACAATATAATATCAGATATGAGACAGATACTAGACTATGTTAAGTCAAGTGGTATCAGATAAAAGGCGGGAACTGTTTGATTGCTAAGCTCGAGACATGATATTATATTTATTTTGACTATATTTTATGATAATATGTTACGTAGTAATATGCCTATACTACCAAAAACGTGGTGATTCGGCGTTTCTAAAACAAAAACAGACTAGAATTTATGACGATTTGTATTACTTGAGGTTAGGCTCCTGTCATGAAAGAATTGCTTAACACCGGTGTGTAAAGTCGTACTGTCATCCCGGTCCAGCCAAATCATGACTCTCCCACGTTTAACCTATCTCAACTCAGTTCTTGGCGAAGCAGCCATTGGCCACGCGACTTGAATTGTAGACGATACGGTTCTGCATCTCCTTTGCTAGATTTCTATTAACCATATGGCTTAGCTATCGTACATGTCTTTAGGTAAACGAGAGTAGAAAAACCGGTAGGGCTCATTCATAATCTGACCAAATTGGAGATCTTCTGATCTGAAGAAAAGTCGGGCCAAAAGTATCTGAAATCGGGGAGTATATATAAAAGCGACCGTTTAACGACCGTAGAGAAAGCTCGCTATGGATGATAATATAGAAGCAAGTGATGATCTGTTGTCTCTGTCTTACACGAACGGAGTAAAGAGAAGGAACGTGTGTGTATACCTGTAATACAACTTCCCTTCTGTTAACAGGATAGTGAAAGAAGAAGGTGTCTTAAAATTATGGCGTGGAGCTACGCCCACTGTTGGACGTGCTATGGTGGTCAACGCTGCTCAACTCAGTACCTACTCGCAGGTAAAGCTTTATTCACACTTAAGCATGAAAACCACTAAAATATACTTTATGTATGTAGTTTTAAGTACAAATACTTGATGCCAGGTACCTAACGTGGTTGTCCGTATGGTGACTGATTAAGAATACGGAGTGTCACCACCCCTATTCATCCCGTGGGTGTCGTAAGAGCTGACTAAAGGAGCAAACTACGCAGGACAACAGCACTGCAAAGAGAAGGAAAACTTGACACAAAGCCTATACCAACCCGTCTGGCCAGCGTGGTATAGTAGGCCAAAACCCTATGCCCAGCAGTGGACTGTTAAAAGCTGTTGATGACGATGATCTAGGGTGGAGAAATAGTATTGGCTACGGGTAATTTGAAGTTTTAAAACTTATGGCAATAACTACAGACAGTAATTAACTCCTCCAGTAGATACCTGTGGCTTAAGAGTTGCAAGTGCAGTCCCGCCCTTTCCACTCCCCCCCGAACAAATGGAGAGGGGGGTTAGCCTCCGATAAGCTTACTCACTCGGGTGAAAGGTTTTGTGCCTTTTGTGTATATGTAAATAAATACAATATAATACAATACTAGCTGTCCCGAAAGACGTTGCAATGTACACACGTCCAAAATTAAAAAAAAAAACATTTTGTAGTGGACTGAATTGTGAATCTAAACCATTCTCAAATTCACTTGATACACAAAAAAACATCAATATCGGTCCAGCCGTTTAGGAGGAGTTCAGTCACATAAACACGCACAGAATTATACAGGGTTACAAGAAAAGTCGTGCTAGATCCGTTAAGGGCGTGGAGTACCCATCATTTCTGACATATTTCACTATGAAACACCCTACCCTAAACTTAACCCTTTTCGAGATAATCGTCTTTTAATTTTTTTATTGAAATTTGCTGATTTTTAGGCTACTACATTTATTTTTGTTTATTTTGTGTATCCTGTTATTATTATTTTTGCATTTTTACATGTGTCATTTTACGTCAGTCATTAAAATAGTTCATAAGTTAATTGAATAGATCGTAGTAGACAAGTGAAAGTAAAGAAATAAAAAAAAATATTAGAAAATTATTTTTCTCTAACGGATATCTAAAAACAATATTATGGTAATTGTTCGGCAGATGTTTTTTAAAATATCTACGTTTCATCAGCTATCTAACGAGGTATAACAATCTAGGGTTTGTATTACATTTCGTCAAAAAAAAGTAGTTGGGACGCTCCAGGTAACAGTTCTAACGGTCCCGCGCCTATTGTCCTTCAAGTTAAGACGCACCAAGCGAGCGAGACAAGTGACGATTTATGTAGGTGCGAATGAAAGAAAAAATGTGTAGAGACCGGTTAGGGCTGGGAATACAACAGGGGGCATTGTTTGGTTGTCACTAGTTGTCAGTCTGCTTTTGTGCTTCGTACATAGTAGATGTGATATCCTTTTGCTCTTTTTCTCGACTTGGCTGTGATTCTGGACTATTTCTTCTGATTTGTGACTACTGTGCTTGTTAACCGGACTCTGATTTGTACCTGTTATACGGAAGTGTTGAAGATGACGTCCTACACACCTGAGGAATATGCTGATATGCTTATTTGTTACGGATACTGCGATTGTGTGTCTGCGCAAGGTCGCAACGAATACATAACTCGCTACCCTGGTCGTCGAGTGCCGGATGTGGCCGTTTTTGACAGAGTTTATCGAAGACTTCGAGAAACTGGCTCTGTTTTAAGACGAAATACAGACATGGGAAGACCACGAATTGACGACGAAGAACAGGACAATGAGATAGTGCAACGCTTTCGAGCGGATCCGACTACTTCCACTAATATTGTTGCCCGTGATCTGGGACTTTCGCAATGGAGAGTGTGGTTTACAGTGCATACTGCTGGCCTATACCCGTACCATTACACGCCGGTACACGTTATTGAAGAAGGAGACCCCGCGAGAAGATTGGACTTTTGCAGATTTATGCTAAATGCTGACGTAGAAGACCCAGATTATCTAAGAAATATCTTGTGGACGGATGAGTCCTAAATTGATAAAGATGGCATAACTAACTATCACAACGCCCATTACTGGGCCCCAAAAGAACTAAGGAATCCCAATAAGAAAAGAGTGAAGGGGTCCCAACGAAGATTCAGCGTGAATGTGTGGATGGGCATTATCTCCAATCATTTGATTGGACCTTACTTTCTCCCGGATAATCTAAATGGGGAAAGCTACGAAAATTTCCTGAGAGTAGACTTGAGTGATTTGCTGGATGATCTGCCACTCAACCTGATCAGGGACATGTGGTTCCAACACGATGGCTGCCCTGCCCATTTCAGGAGAAGTGTCAGGGACTGGCTGGACACAAATTATCCAAACAAATGGATAGGACGAGGTGGGCCGTTGCCATGGCCAGCAAGAAGTCCGGACCTAACCCCCATGGATTTTCATGTGTGGGGGTGCATGAAAAGTCTTGTGTACAGCGAGCCGAATCCAGTTTCGTCTGTGGAAGACTTACGAGAAAGGATTGTGGATGCAGCAAAATAAAATGAGGACCACGTTGACCACTGGAGTAGTGAAGACTGGTCTCCGTAGAAGGATGCGACAATGTATCAGAAATAGAGGCGGCCATGTTGAACATGAACTGTAGAATAAGAAAAAGTTGTGTGAAAACCTTTAATAAATGACATTTCATGCTTAACTATTGTTTTATTTTACTTTTTTGGGCTAAGTATAAATTTTCTTCTCCACTGTCGCCTATGAAACTAAAGTTTTTTCAATGCATTTGAATAAAACCTTAGAGTATTATACCTCGTTAGATAGCTGATGAAACGTAGATATTTTAAAAAACATCTGCCGAACAATTACCATAATATTGTTTTTAGATATCCGTTAGAGAAAAATAATTTTCTAATATTTTTTTTTTATTTCTTTACTTTCACTTGTCTACTACGATCTATTCAATTAACTTATGAACTATTTTAATGACTGACGTCCTAAAGCATCTTATTACACATGTAAAAATGCAAAAATAATAATAATAAGATACACAAAATAAACAAAAATAAATGTAGTAGCCTAAAAATCAGCAAATTTCAATAAAAAAATTAAAAGACGATTATCTCGAAAAGGGTTAAGTTTAGGGTAGGGTTTTTCATAGTGAAATATGTCAGAAATGATGGGTACTCCACGCCCTTAACGGATCTAGCACGACTTTTCTTGTAACCCTGTATATATATATATATTATATATATAAAGATGAAGGGCAGGGTTTTGCTTAGGTGATTATTTCGGGAATGCCCGATTGACGAGCTCCCGTGGCGGATTTAGACGCGGAAGGTCGCCGAAATAACCACGTGACTAAAATTTTCTAGTTAGTAGTAGTTAGTTACCATTAAACTTTAACCGACGCATATATCACAGGTACTTAATACTTGAATTGTAGCTGAACCAAGACACAAGTCACATTATTGTCCTTTGAAAATACTTTGTGTTGAAAAGCACATTTCTAATAAATTGCGTATTCTCTAGCTGTGGTGTCGAACGTATTTCATTTGTAATATCTACCACTGGGAAGAAACCCGTGACTTTTCTTGCAGTAATCTTTTCTGGTAGCCTGCGTTACGAATCTGCAAAGCTATAGTTATAAACAAGCCCGCCTGATCACGTAGACTGGTCTTTGTTAGGCCTTGCAAATAGATATAAATTCATATATCTTTTGACCTTTCGCTTAGGTCGTCAGGGTCATCTCATCTCTGTTGTTATGGTCTATTTTTTTAAATACAATTGTTATTTCATAAAAAATATTTGAGATTGGGTTTAAAACAAAGGGTAAAAAATTAAAATAGTTTAGAATTTTAAATAACAATTACTTGGTCGTCTACGAGAACAATCCTTGAGAATTGAGACATTTTTTGCCTCGCACAACCAATCTACTCAACAAGTCATCGTCTACGGTATTTCCGAACCGATACGACCTTCAAACCTTCAAGAAAAGAGCGTACTGTTATAACCTTCGCCTGTACCCAAATATGCTGACTGCATGTGCAGCCAGGCCAGTGCCAAAAGTGCTGAGTAGTGTTTCTGCGGCCATCGCAGAAACACTACTCAGCACTTTTGGCATCAGAGCCGGGAACTGACCAGCGGGAAGTCACTCTACGTTCCACTCTCGCGCCGAGCGGTTGCCTAAGGGTCCCTTTTATATTTTGAGTGACAATAAAAGTCTTAAATTAAATAATTCCTTTTTCTTAAAAGCCTTCAAAGAGGGACCCTATAACAGTGCTCCTTCCTCAAAGGCTGGTACCGCGCTTGTGACTCCTGAGTTGCAGGCGTTCATGGGCGGCGGTAGTCACTTTCTATCAGGTGTCCCGTCTGCTCGTTTGCTTTCATTAAAACCACAAAATAAAATTAAATGAGTATATATATATATATATATATTATTGTAAAAGTCCGAACTACAGTAAAACCTTTTTTTTTTTTTTTTTTTTTTTTTTCCGTGCGGAAATCCCCTCGGATACCACTTGTCGGTGGCATGTCGGACACGAACCGACTAAAACCGCACGCCTTCGCCGGGTACTAATAGCCGGGGAACCAGGTATACCCTAGAAAGGAAGTCCCTGGTGCCCCGACATACCTCAGGTCATCTACAGACGAGTAGACGACCCCCCCCCCCCCGTGTGGGAACCCCATGTTCCCTGTGCTCCCTGGAAGTTTGCGTGCTTCGCAACGCGCTCGCCGCCACCCCGGCCTGCTTCTGCTAGGGTGACAGATGGCCTCACCTGTCACCCCCAGGCCTGCGCTTATGGAGGACGGAGGTCGTTCTGCGACCTCCGGCGCCTGCGCTGCCTGGCCCGTGCCCGGGCCTGGCGGGCCGGGAGAGTTCTAAACCTCTCCCGGTCCCGCTCCGCCGTCTCCTTCGCGAGCATAACTCGCTCGCAGAAGGAGACGGCAGAGTTACACGCACTCTCGCTCCGCACGATAGCCGCAATCAGGCTATCGAGCGAGAGAACTCCCACTCCGATCGCCGCCACGAGGTCTCGCCTCTGCTCAACCCACGCCGGGCACTCTGCCAGCGTGTGGAGAGCCGTGTCCACGGTCTGGCCATCGCAGTGTTGGCACTCAGGCGTTGGCTCCTTGCGGATCAGACACAGGTGATCTCCGAAACATCCCTTCCCAGTGATCACCTGCGTCAATCGGTATGAGAGGGTCCCGTGACGCCTCTCGAGCCAATCCTCCATAACGGGTCTTACCGCCGCAATGACGGCGTGCCCGGCGCTCGGTTGCCCGAGTCGTTCCCTCCACTCCCCTATGATGACCTGGCGGAGTTGGGATTTCCGGTCATCGATTTCTCGAATCTCGGGGCATCGACCCAACTCCTGCGCCTCCTTGCGCCACTGATACAGAGCCGCAAGGGCTCTCGCCTCCAGGTCCCACGGTGGAGTTCCGGCCAGGAGACTCGCCGCCTCAAAGGAGATCGTGCGGTACCCCCTTATGATCCTGATGGCCAGCATTCGCTGCGGTCGTCGCAGTATCGCGACGTTGCTAGCCTTCAGGGCCCCCGCCCATACTGGGCACCCGTAAAGGGCCATGGACCGCACAAACTACAGTAAAACCTAAGATTTACCAACGAGGCTTTAACCAAAGTCCGAATTCCGAGCATTTACCACCATTCACTGGGTAAATCTTACGATTTAGATAGATAAATAGATAGGTACTCTTTTTTGTACACCATAATTAGGATGCATGCGATGATACATACAAAAAAAAGTTTAATTTCAAATACCAACAGTAGGGGGGATCTGGTGCTCTGGTCACTGTTCTGACCTAACCTAACCCAAATTTAACTTTAAAGTACTTTTTGTTTTCTCCCAAAAACCAACATTTACCAATCGCATCTGGTAAAACATAGCATGTACCAGTTTCTAATGGTATAAGTCCGAAAAATCTGCAGGTAAATCATAGAACTTACCGTAGTTCGGGCTTTTACAGTACAGTACATTATAGTACAGTACATTACAGTACAGTATATTACAGTACAGTACATTACAGTACAATACATTATTTTAGTACATATACATTATTGTACATATAGAGTGCTATATGAAAAAGTAAGTATGTGATTATAAACATCTGTGTGAATCTTAGGCTCGTGAGATGTTCGTGGGCTACGTACCTGACGGTATATTCCTGCACTTCTGCGCGTCCATGGTGTCTGGTCTCATCACCACTATCGCCTCTATGCCCGTCGATATTATAAAGACGAGGTAAGAAATTGTTTGTATAATTAGTTTACTTACCCTAACTCATTTGGCTTTTTTCTTACCCAAATTACCCTCTGCCCGAATCTTCTATGAAAACTGTTGCATTCCCAAAGAGATTTAGTGATCAAAAAGAAATCCTTTATACAATGTAATGCACTGATCCAAACAAAAACGCCTGAAGAGTAGGGATGGAATAAAATCGCAATGAGCTGTAATAAATCATATGATTTAAAAATCACCCATCACTGCTGTGACTAATCCTCAAAATCACTGCGGCCTAATTATTATTACGCTAGCATCAGTCTCACGCAGGTGTTTTGTAATATTTCCTTTATCTCATTGTAGGATCCAGAACGCAGCCCAGGGTCAGAGTCAATTAGGAGTGGTGACCAACCTCCTCAAGAACGAAGGTGTCCTTTCCCTGTGGAAGGGCTTCCTGCCGTACTACGCCCGTCTCGGACCTCACACCGTTCTAACCTTTATATTCCTTGAACAAATGAATGCTGCCTATTTCAGATTAACGTAAATTAATCGAAAATAAGCAATACATTTAATTACGGGGTAAGAAAAAACATTTTATAAGTCCAAATGCGTACACATAGATTAATTTTAAATGATATTTTATGTTCTAAACTTGTTGAAACCTAACTTTTTGTTTGAGTTACGCTTATAAAATATCGATAACTTGTTTTGATGCCACGTAGGCACAAACTATCCTAAAATCTTACATAACATAGAATATTATATCTCCTTAGAATGAATAAAATACGTAAAATATAGTTTTTAAGTATTTTATTCATTAAAAATTAATATTGGGTATAATCTAAGTAAGACGATGAATATACGAGTTTTAAATCATGTATTATGTTATATGACTTGAAAACCTGTGAAGTTTGAATGAAATCAGTGCGCCTAATCTATATCTACAATAAGAGATATATTTATACCAATTTGAATCGTGAAAATTTATTGGCAACCCTAACTTTACAAATGAGTTATTATGAAGTCATGAAAATATTTATTTTAATCTGTAAACAGTGATGTTTATTCTTCTGTCATGTTCCATTATCTTGTAAAATAAAAACTAAACTAATCGCTATGGACTGATAAGTGTGTACAGCTTCGTGTTTTATTATATTGCAAATATTTTCGCTGTGCGAATTTATACAAAACATTGTAATAAAAATTATTTATTGAATATATTGGGAGATAAGAAATAAATCGATTTGAGAATGTCTTACTGTGTTCAGTGCGAGACAAAAACGTATAAACATCACGCTTTGAATGTTTTGGTAGGATTAAATATTTTTGTAACTGGCAATGTGAACCAATTAATGATGTATGTTCGTGCAATAATTGCACGTTCTGACGTCATGTGGGCGTGTTATGACATCACAGTGTGCTATTTTTGTCGTAGAGATATAAAAGTTATGTGATTTATCAATCTGAGAGATGTTGAGATAAAAATATTACAGTGATTTTCGTATGACGATCAAATTGTATTTTTTTATATATGAATTAATTTAAACTGCAAGTATTTTTGTTTGGTTTTAGTTTTTATTTTAATTACATTTATTAAATGACCACTGTAAAACAGAATTGAGGAAAGTCGTCTGGGACTCAGTACCGTTGATTACATTATTTGCAAATAATTCTTTCGCAACAAAGACAATGTTTAAAAGAAAAGACGTGATTACTTTTGTTATTATTTAAGGTCGTTCGGGTAATATACAAAGAATCGCAGTTTCATTAAAAACTAATTGAAAAAACGAAAATAGAAAAATAAGCCTTATTGACATGAAAACCTAAGCCTTAAAGAAAAAAAATACTAAATTCACTTATTCGTATATACGTACCTAATGACAACGTAAATATATGTAACATGCTGTGCCCACCAATATTGCATACCAACGTGTTAAAACATAATTAAAGTCTAATTTCGTCATTGATTTTTAAATTTTTTGTATGCAGTGTATACTTTTGTATGTATACTTGTGTATGTATTCCACAAAGGATGAGTAAAAATATTTTTCAACAAAGTGTTAAAGATTATTGTAACCATTAATGGTTTAAAATGTCAACGTTGTCAAGAAGCAAGCTTTAGTTATAAGAATGTTTTATGCCTTTTTGTGACTTTACCAAATATTTTATAACACAGTGGTTATATAACACATAATTAGCGCGTCTATGACTAGTAGTCCAATATGACCTAACCTGGTCATATTGGACGTGGGTTCAATTTTTAACTAGTACAAATAATTGTGTTATGAGCACGATCAATTGTTCTATGTCTGGGCGTTATTTAACTATAATATGTATGTATTTATATATATATATATATATGTTTACCATAGTGTGTAATATGTATATCTCTGCCTAATTTAGGATCTATTGAGTAAAACTATCATAAAAATATTTTGTTCAGTCAAAATTGTAAGATGATTATCGTCTTTACATATCCGGTAGAATGCCTGATTTTGGCATCTATGTGAATTAGATTACATAAGGAACGTAACAACATTATAAAAGCAAGGTAGTTGCAAAGCAAATTCTTTTTTATGTGACTCGATATATAATCTTATCACTGCCAATATAAACCTACATTATAATCACCATTAAATTTAGCAGCGATCACGCTAATATGAAAATATAATTCTCTATCAAATCTGATTAAATATCAGATAAAATATCTAACAACACAACTGCATTTGAAATTCTGAGTATTCACATACTGAGCGCAGCATTACTCTGCATACTGAATATTCACATTTAAATCCAATAAACAAATTTAAAAAAATAAGTAACATCCATAGCTCTTAAATCAATGGATACAAAAGTTTTCGATCTTACTTAACAACGTGATTAAGAACTTACAGCAATGGGTTCTAGAACATAGATACCAGATATTGGAACGAAGTTCCTTATAGCGCGTTGTGAAAGGGGGCTACACGGAAAAAATTCTCACGAAAAGTTGTAACCACACTTTATGTCAGTCATTCAGCGCCATCTATCGAATAGATAAGAAATCATTACTTTTCATCTCAGTATTTATTTTGAATTGTCACTTGTCAGTCATTCAGCGCCATCTATCGAATAGATAGGAAATCATTTCTCAAGGATGTTTTAATTAGAAACCAACTGAAAAATATGTAGGTAATAGCCGCTTTCATAGATGGCGTTGTAATTAAAATCGTGTCGAATCAGTTTTACACGATCGTCACAACTTCGTTCTTATCGGGTGTCCCACAACACCACACGGCTTTTTTTATATAAACATACAGATTACTATACAAAGAAACCCGGTTGTGTAATAATCTATAGTAGTAATCACCATGACATTTATTTACCTTCTTGAAAAAGCGAATTATTGAAAGAAAACTCAACGGACTGCCTGTAAATATATCGGTAGGTATTATAAAATTTTTATAATTTTCGTATCTCCACTCTCACTCTTGCAATTAAGACAAATCTAACGACACCTCCCAAGCCAAAATCCATCAAGTGTTTAGACTACTGAGCGGGCCGAATAAATATACATACATACATAGACGAATACATAACTCTCTTTCTGAAACGTATCAGACAACCCTAAAATAATCGGCAGTCTGATCCCAAACTAGGCAGAGCCTGTACCATGGTAACCAGTCTACTGATAAACATACTTTCATATTTCTAAATAAAATACGCGTACGTAAAACCATGTAACTTTGATACCCACAATAGTATATACATCCAGTACATGTATTTACTCGTATATATTTGCGCTGCAATCACATTGTACAATATGATAATGTCGTCAATGTAAAATGACTTTTATTCCACATACATTATGACTTGTATTTGTATCTCCGAATTGTTAATTTTACTTCTATAAGTTATTTGTGTTGTCTCCTATTAAAAAACTGCCTTCCTCGAAGTAACAAGTCACGTTGCTTTGTAAGTTTGTTGATCATAGTACAGGTACTAAACTTTTTATTATCTGCTAACGCAGACACATATGTATGTGTATAAATGTAGGGTGAATAATTTTGTTACGATTTTTTTGTAAAAACGACTGTATTTATTATGGAAATTCGCTTCGCAATGTACAGATACCATGGCGATTTCACCACTTCATTGTACTTGTGACGAATAAGCAGTGGAGAGCAACGATCATTGAAATCATAAAACGTTTGATTATCTTTGATTGATTGCATTGAATTTTTGTATTACACTGGCCCAACCGCGACTTAGTACGCTGAAATTTGGTTTTTGGTATTATTTTACTCATGATTATTCATGATAATCCATTTTTTCAAGACCAAAATTAGTCAAATCGATCCAGCCATTCCCGAGTTTTAGTAAGACTAACGAACAGCTATTCATTTTTATATATAAAATTATTTGTTAGTATTTTTCATTAATTATTAATGTGTCCTGTGGTGAAGTCTTTCCTTTGGCCTTACTGCAATCTGTGAGAGTGATTTTAGTAAAAGGGACGGAAGTATGTAACAGTAACAACTCTCATTAATCCAGTCAGTGGTATAGTTGTCTGTCAGATGGTTAGGTGAGATGTCAGCTGCAGCAGCTACACATCATTTCCTACTGCTGTACTCGCTCATTTTGCTCAACGACTTATTAAAAAATGAACGTCTTTAAAGTTTGAATAAGATCTGAGTCTACTATTTCGGTTTATCGTACACCGTCCTTTACACACTATGTATATATGTACACATTCACAGTTATATACAGAACAGTACTGGTCTGCGAGCGATTTAATTATCAAACAATATCTTATCCAGAGATGTTAACTTATATAAAATTCCATGTAAAAAATATGTCAATGTATTTATTTTTACAAACATTAATTTTTTTTCTATATTTTTTTGTGTATTGATTTGGTTACTTCATACATTTCATGTTGTAAGTAAAAGTACAAATCATTTCTTAGATCTAAACATCAGGACTTAAATAGCTGTTTACTTTAAAAGGAGTGTTATTACTTCCCCCCCCCCTCCCCCCTCCCTTGCCCATACAATGCGTGGGGTAAAAAAGAAAAGAGGTAACAACGCCTTACAGGTGTTCATTGGCTGCGGTAGTCACTTGCCATCAGGTGCCTGCTCGTTTCTCCCACATTCCACATCCCACATTCAAATAAATAGTTCCTTATATGTTGTACGATAATACTGTGTTTAAGTCCAGATTTTTAGATTTAATATGAAAAAACTTATAAAATAATATTTTTTATACATATTCTTTACAAATTTTTTGAATGTTTTTTCTTTATTTTGACAGTTTTATTAATACAAAAACAGGGGTTTTTTTGTGACTAATTTTTCTTGGTGTCTTAATTTTTTATTTACACTTTTTCATCTTATTATTGAGCTAAAAATTATGATGATGTAATATTGTAATGAAAAAACTGACAATAAATTGTATGACATGTCTTTTTTGTATGTCACCTTATGATATTCCAGTTTATGACTTTGGATAATCTAAATACTGCTAAGCTTAAATTAAAAAGATTATATTGTACTACAAATGTCA